TAATACCATGGTTATTCTAATAAGGCAAAAGGCAAAATCATATACCTTAATGGTGACCAGTATAAATGGCATTTTTATAAAACTTTTTATTTGTATGAACAGGCATGAACAGATTAGTATGAACAGGCATGAATTGATTAATGTCTACAGTGCTTTTCTGAGACCAGTAACAGAGTGTCACATGGCTCAGTCCAACGTTATATACTTGGGGGCTTCAAAGAGTTGGAAGAGAAATATCATAAAATTAAAGATGTTTATAAATGATGATTGATCAGGACATTATTAAGGAGCTTTGTAGGCTGCCAAGCTAAAGATCATCAGCCTGGTTCAAAATTCCTGCAACTGGCATATGAATAATGATATTCATTAAAATAACTGTGCATGTTTTATTTGCCTCTGAGCACTTTAGCTATTAGGTTACACTTGGGTATTGTCCCCTTTCCTACCACGAAAGCTTTAACCTTACCCTACAAGTAGAAGCTGTAAGTCTCACCCACACATGCCCCAAGGAGCTGAAGCTACAAGAAAAACAGCTATTACAAGTCTCCCATTAAACCACAAGAGCTGGCAGTGGTGAGCAGAGCAAGGAGGCTCCTGTTTGCATATCAACTCCATTTCACAGTGTGACAAAGCTGCAGATGTGCCCTCATGTCAGCCAAAAACATTCCACTCCTTTCCCATGCCTGCCACTTCCTGGAGGTGGAGTATTGAAGATAGTTCTTGTTCAACAAAAATACTGCTCTTTCCTTGCTTTCCACATCTTCCTCAGCTCTCAAGCTGTCATACCCATTTGGGTAGGAATATCACCATTGCAGCATACATATTTCTATAGAAGAGAAAGACAGAGAACAGGCAATGTACCTCCAGTTGTTTTTCCCATAGACCATGCCTAAACAGACATTATCCTTGCTGATTCAGCCATAAATTTCTTTCTGAAGCAACTGAAAATGCAAAGGCTAAATGAAGGGAAAAAAACTGACGTAGGAAACAGCTGTGATACAAATATAAATGCAGTGAAAGCCATATATTAAGGGTGGAAACTCATTCAGATGAGACTAATTTACAGAGTGGCTCAACTGAAATATTCAGTAATATTTTAAAAATGCGCCTGTAGTAAAAGAGATGAGAAAATAATTTAACTGGATACTGTTGAAGTTCTGTTTCTTTATGGTGGGAATAATAAATAGCATCACTAATTTTTCTTAGCTGCATACCAAGAGAAGTCAGAATGTCCATTCAATGATTTTAACATTTCTGGGAAAACAAACAGTATAGGGGGAAAAATAATTAAGTTTTCTTTCTGAATATGCACTTTAAAGATGCCTTCTTCAAAGAGGAATTTATTGATGCTGTGAGTGCTATAGAGTAACACCACTATCAAGAGAAAGTTCTATGCTCAGATGCACAGAACAGTCATAAAATACAGCTTTTGCCCCTTTGTAGGGGCTCCTTGGTGTCACCAAGGCTGGCCTCCTATGGAGAAGGATAAGCAGAATACAGGGGCAAGAGAGGTTACATTTTAGTTATAAAAGTCACAACACATGTAGGGATGTTTAGTGCTCCAAGAAAAGTTCTGGGACATCTTCTTTTTTACATAGGAGTACCACTCCATAACACCAGCTATCATGTTCTTCAGATCTTCCCAGCTCTTACTGCTGGCCAAAGTGTGTGTGTGAAAGAACCATGGTCCAAAAAGGCACCTCCTGGGTGGTGATGAGCTCCTGTGGGCTTTTCCTCAGGCACAATGTCTGCCTGATGATCACCTCTGGGCAGCATGGGGGCTGGGTGGTCCCCTGGGGTTCCCCTGGTGCTCTGGTTTTGGGAGCATTTGCCAAGAGAATGGGCATGTGTGCTTCCCCTCCCCAAGCAGAGCCCAGGGTGCATCGCCCAGCTCCACTTCCCAGCCTGCTGCAGGAACTGTGCTCAGCATTTGACTAAGCACGTTCTTCAAGGTCCTTTGAAGCTCATGAAGACTGGCTTTTGGAAGCCAGAGACATCTGCAAATTGCTGCTAGTTCCTCATATTAGGTGAAGATAAAAATTTGGAAGGACTGGCTTTCCCTTGAAGAGTTCACAGAATCACAAAATCAAATTTTGAGGCTGCAAAAGACCACTGAGACCATTGAGTCCAAGACCAAACACTGCCTTGTCAATTAGACCATGGCACTAAGTGCCCCATCCAGTCTTTCCTTAAACACCTCCGATGGTGGTGGCTCCACAACCTCCCTGGGCAGTCCATTCCAATGTCTAATCATCCTTTCTGTGAAAAAATCCCTCCTAATGTCCAAACTAAGCTTCCTCTGGTGCAGCTTGATGCTACTGACCTCATGAGCTCCTCTGAAGACAGGAGACATGGAAGAAGCTGAGCATGGTGGGATATGTCTTATTAAAGTGCTTTCCTTGCAAAAAGCAAATTTAGATGCAATGATTCAGCCCTTTCCTTGACTCTAGTAGCCCTGAAAAAACATGCCTAAAACACTGGTGAGGTAGACTGGATTCCACCCTCTGCTTTACCCTGTAAACACTTGCTGGCTGAGACCTGTTACTCATTGCCACTGATCACATAAGAAAGAAACCAAAGGCTGTAAGGGTTCACATTATGGAGTCATTAGAGTGGGATTGAACAAGAGTTACACAAACCTGTGTTCTTCCTGAGAAAATGACATGCATAGATTAAGTGTTATACTTTACTGTAGATCTGCCACATTAGCTTAGTGTGTATCTCTACAGAATCTGTCAAGATGTTACTATTTTATTGATCCACATTATTTTTTTCTCCATTAGTTTGAGGATTAAATCATCACATTTGGATTATGTGGTGATTAATCACAGGTTAGATATTTACAGTTTGAATGCATAGAAAAGATTAAAGAAATTCTGTCTTACATCCCAGTGCAGCATATCAGTTTGAATAGGGTTTTTTTCCACATCACTATTTCTACCTGATCCCGGTTAAAAGTGGAGACCTTAATTTTTACTTTTTTTTTTCCAAGATGATAATGCTGAGCATTTGGCAATGACATACCTTAGTATATCCTTCCTTAGCTAGAAGATGGCAAGTACCTAGAGTGTTTTCTGGACTTGGGGAGAACATATCCTAAATTGTATAACTAACTGAAAGAAACTGGAGAAGACGGTCAAGTTGTTTACGTTCCCCTTTATTGAAATGCTCTCAGTACTGCAATGTTTTTAATTTCAAGGAGGAGACTAGATGTTGCATGACTTTTGATGATCCCTGCTTTGATTTGGGTGTGTTTGTCCTTGGGAAGTGTAATTACATATCTGATATGGATCTGTTCAAACAAGGTAATTCATGGTCTACTTAAGATCCTGCAAAGCTGCCAAATTAAGAGGTGTATAAAATTACCCTTTCCTTTTTCTGATCAAGACATAATAATGCACAGGTTATTTTGTATACAGACCATTGTCTTCTTCCTTCTGAAGAACTGGATGATGATGTATTATAAGAAAATCTTACTTGACAGTTACAGTGGTTTATGCATCAGGTTTTAGAAAGCTGTAAAGCTTTCTTCCCCAGCAGTGAAAACACTGGAAAAATGAAGGCTCACGATAGTTTTGTTTTGGATACAAATGAATGTAAAAAGTACTTTAGAAATGCTTTTAAAAATAATCTTTAATGTCTTTTGCTGATAAGAGCTTTTCATTCTCATTTGAATATTGGCCAAATTGGGATTTCTTACTCACACAGCAACAGGGTTTTTTTCTTATCATTTGGCCACCTAATATCTACAGGATTAATCATGGTATAAAGCTTTATTCAGTGTGCAGGCATCTCAGTCCTGACCATGGTGTTCATTTGGTTTCATATCTTGAGATCATTCCTTTATCTACTAATCATTTTCTTCTCTCTGTTTTCTCTCTCTCCCTTTACTATGGGAACATAGCCATATAGCTGGGGACATTTCAGCAGGTGGATAGCCTGAAACTTGGGTGATTAGTGTGGCATTTATCAGATTTTGTCTTTGATCCCTTTGTTATTCAAAACTTCAAATGCTTCCATATTCCTTGGGCGGGGGGAGGGGAGAGGAAATAATTTCAATTTGCTCTTAAATGGATAAACTCTAACGCAAATTAAAGTATTTGGAAAAAAAAAAAAGTCTATTTTTATCTATTTGTTAAGACGGGGGGTCTCTAACTGTAAAACAAAGGAGTGCTCCATGTGCTGGATTTATACAGCTGAGTGACACTGCCCCGTGTCTGCTCTGAGTGTCTGCTCTGGAGTCAGAGCTCGAATTGAGATTTCCATCCGCAGGGACCCAAAGGCATCTGCCAGAGACAAGTCCCTGCTGTTGTGCTGCTCTCATCAGCTTCTGCTTACCCTTGATCTACAGCGTGGTGTAACATCAGGTCACTCAGAGAAGCACCCTGATAGATAACATTTTCTTCTGGCACAAAATCCTGTAAGAATAGTTTCAGGCAGCTATTTTAGATTTCATGGGCCAAAGGACCAGAGTACCTCCCTCCCCCACTTCCTTCCTACAATGTGAGCTCCCTGATTCACTATCCAGCTCTTCCAATAACATCTCTGGGTCATGACAACATCCCAGGCAAAACTATCAATATCAGATCTTAGGGGCTGTGAGAGACTGGAAGGACTGCTGGCTTGAAACATTTGGGGTGTGTGTGTGGGGACAGGGGCAGGTCAGGCCTTGCCCTGGTGAGGTGATGCCCTGCCCTGCACACCCCACTCCCCTGGGCCTCTGCCCCAGCCCTGCAGTGGTCACCAGTCCCTGGCACACCAGAGGCAATGCTCTATACCCACCCCTGGAGCCCCAGCCCAGCTCCTGAGTGGCCAAATGACCAGAAGTCCCACCTGGGGGAAAGGCCCAGGGAGGACAAAGGAGTATTTAAAGTGAGACACAAGGCAAGCTTATGTCTTGGTCCTGTTTGCTCTTGGAATTTCTATCAGCTGAACACCACTGGAAACAAGAGTAAATTTATGTTTCTTCTTTTCTTCCTTTTTCTCTTGCTCTTTCTTCTTCTAATTCCTCCATGGAATTTTTGAGTAAATTAAAATTGAATGGGCTTGGAGTTTGCTAAGTTGAATGGGCTTTGGGAAGTGTTTTACGTTGATTGAGTGCTGCTCTAAACTTTTTGTTCTCGTTTTTTTTTGATTCATGTATATGTTTTTAATTTATCTCTTTATAAAGTCAGAAGAGGGAGAAGGAGGGAATGCTAGAAGAGGACAGATGAGACTGACAAAATCAAGCCTTGATGTGAAATAATCCCCATAAAAGAAGACTAGGGACACTTAGTTGAATATGGCTAAGATGGGCAACTATCTTGTTTTATCTTGGGAAGCAGGAATACTGTCTCCTTTTCCCCACTTCATTATGTACAGGAACTTTTCCAGTCTTTTTAGGAACAAAATGGTACTTAGGGTACCATATGCACTGGCAGCAGTGCCACCTTGGGACCTTTGATTCTTCTGGGGTGGTATATAGTGAACTTCCCGGGTGCTGTATGGGGAACGTACCCACCAGAGGGCCATAAGCACACTGTGTGTGCACTGAGGACCTCAAAACCATTTGAGGAGGCACTTCTCACTGCCCCTCCATCACCATGGCAGCCACATCATCCAATTGTTGGCAAATATTGACTTGGTCTCAGAAGAGTGATAGTTTCACATGGTTTTCCAACACTGCATTAATAAGCAACTTGCAATGCAGTTAGACAAATTGTCAGTAGTGCCAGCCAAATAATTTACATGGTAACAGCATATAACATTTTCTAAGATAGCAAAATTCTTTACCCAGTATCAATAGTGTAATTTATATACAGATCTTTCTAGAAGCATGTGAGGTGTATCTGACCATTCAGGTTGCTTTATGATTTTCTGATGCTATTGGATTATTTAAAAAAAAAATTAGGAAATATAATTCTTTCCATTCAGTTGGTATTTTTCCTGTTCTCTCATTTAAAAAGTACTTCCTAGTCTAACATGAAGATGCAACACAATATCAGTTCCTGAAAGAAATACATAATTATGCAATTATCTGAAAAGAGAAGGCATAGTGCTTATAACTATTTTTTATTTTTACTTGTAAATATGATTTTTATGTAATTTATTATCTTGTCTGCAAGACTTGGAGAAATTATCTGTTTTAAGTTTATCTCCTAGGATATAAATTGTCTAGCTGTTTGAGGACAGTGTCTTGAAGCCTTCCTCAAGCTAAATTTTGACTGAGTTTAAAAGTATCTGGTTTAAACTTGTCTTGTGACATTTGGTTGCGTATTTGTCAGAGGATATATGCAAACCATCTAACAGATCGGAGAGGCACCTTATTTTCCTAAGTCTTAGCTAGTGGGGAGAGACTCAGCTTCTACAGAGAGTGAAAGTCTAACTTAGGAGTTCTGAGTAGCCCCCAACGTGATCCTCCCTCCCAGCTGGCAAAAGGAGAAGCCTAGGAGACAACTAAATTAAGAGCTTAAAATTCAGTACAGCTAATAGTCTGGCAATGTGCTCACCCCTTGTAAAACACCTTGCACAGCCAAACGCCGAATTCTGCATCTCTCAGCAACATGGAAGCTGTAGAATTCCAGGTTGTGCTTCAGTGGCTGTGACTAGCAGCTCAGGGTGGACTTCAGAGCCAGTAACAGCTCCTGGCTGTGCAGAGAATGAAAAGCCTGCCAAAGAGTTTTCCTATTGCATGACCCAAGATGTGCATGCTGCACGTTACATGGTAATAAGCCTACCAAGCTCCTCTAATAAAACTGCACTTGTTTGAATTAGCACTTCTTTCAAATATATCCCTTTGCCCCCTGAAGTCAGTTTTGAGAGCATTCAGAGTTCAAGATCATAATGTGCTGATCTCTGGTCTCCAAGTGTGTGTCTCTGTGCTTGTCTGTGGTGAGAGACTCTGAGAGATGAATATGAAATATTACATCCCAGTAAGATTAACTGAAGAAGTGTTATCAAGATCATAAAATCAGTCCTGCAGGTCTGAGTGGAGCATCATATTACAAAACGTATGGGGTTTTTTTTCCAGAAAATGCAACAGAAGAATCTAGGTCAGATTACTGAATTGGGTAACAAGTCCCAGTGATTCCTTAGACTTCGAGAGCCTTGTCAAGATGTGATATAAGCAAGAGAAAACGTATTCACCTTCCAGCTAGGATGCTCTGTGGATGAATGCAACACAGGTTTAGGAGGGGTTGCTGCATGGACGTGTGAATATGCGCCCTAGTGGTTAGTATTGATGGTAGGTAGCTGAAAATGCTCCTCAGGCCCGCAGTAAATCAGCACTCGACACTCCCACATCTTCAGGTCGAGTTAAAAATGACTCATACCCTGTTCGATGCTATGTGGAGGGATATGGTTTTGGCTTGGACTCACCTGGACTCTGTGGGTTCCTAGCATACAAATGTAAGCAAACTTCATGAAGGTCTCCATTGTTGGTGAGGCTTTCTGAAGCCTAGAGACTCCAGCTTGGGATGGTTAGTTGGCATCTTAGTTGCTAAAAAAATCTCAAAGCAGAATGCTGACTGGTTCAGAAATCACCCACTAAAAGGACATTGATGTTAAAAGAGGAATGGCTAACTTTCATAGAAAGTAACAAACTAATTGACAATACCCTTGTGGCAGAAAAGATGAAAATTTCTTAAAAGGTATTAGAAGTCATGTTCACAGGAAAAGAGAGGACAGTGAGAAAGGCATCAGACAACTTGGAAGAAAAGCCTTCAAGGCCCCAAGGAAAGAAATCACCTTTTTCCATTTTTGCTCAGAATTGAGAGCACCATCTGACAACATCAAATCTGCCTGGAAACTCTAGCCAAGAAAATGGGAGACAGCCAAAAAGCTCTAAAATTCTCTCTTTTAATAAAATACAAGAAGTTTAAGTCAGGAGAACTTCGACTTTATTCATGGAAAATTTATAAACAGCTGAGGCTCAACCACTGTACATTGTTGCTCAGCTTCAACCTGGAATTATGCAGTGAGCTGAGACTATAGCAGAAAGAAGTAAAATGTCTGATTTCCAGGTGTGTTCAGCTTAATTCAGTTTGTGCTACTTGAAGCTCACTCTGCACACCATGAAATCCAGCTAAGTGGTGCCAACAGGAATTTCTCAGGAGACCAGGAGACCGTAGGCAGAAAAGGTCTGGGGTCTGTTTGGGGATATAAGCCCCAAAAGGTCTGATAAAAAATAATCAATTGAACAAATTTCTACTGGTAGACATAGGTGTGACTCCATTCATTGACATTGTTTCACCACCCTATGGCTGCCAATGCACATTATGCAGAGGTGTATCTGGAGTCTTCAGGGAGATAAAATTAAGATAAACCTACATGGCAGTAGAAGGAGCTTTTGCTAACCCTTGTTAGCAAAACTTAGCATACTACTGCTAGCCAAGAAGGGTATGTGAGGTTGCATTTGGTAAATATGAATGCATTGCTTATCTAAGCTAGTGAAACATCATATTGGCAAATCAAATAGTGGCAAGACAGTGTGGGGTTTTTGTGACACTGATAGAGCACAGACATAAATCATTTCTCCTGACAAGCTGCACCTGTACTAAGGGGGATTCTTAGCAAGTGTTTTCTAAGCTGCTTCTTGGCTGAAAGGTTTCTTACAGGATGATGGGCTTGTTAAATGCTACCAGTAACTACAGCTCTGGGGATTTTTGCCTTTTAGAAGCATGGATGGTGTCCCATCAGACATTTGTTCCCTGGCTGGAAATTCTGCAACTGTAGGGTTTTTTGTAAGTTTTCCTGAGATTTATTATATTTAAAATTTCGAGATATTTTCCCATGAGGGTGCTCCTTCCCCAACGGTTTCTGCTATGATCCATATCTGGGAATCTCCAGCTTCAGCAGCAGAAGCAATGCTGGGAGAAGTGGAGGCTTCAATGGCACCCTATTTCAGCTTCCTCTTGCTTCTGCAACCTCCTGTGAGGGTCTCTTCCCCTTTGCCAACCTTTTCCTTTCAACAGCGGGCTTGTCTATTTCAGACAGCCTTTCTCTGTGGGGAGTTTCTTGCTGTTACTGAAAATCAGTAATGAAAATATGTTACTAGACACCACTAAGCAAGGTTCACTTTCACTCACGCTTGGTTTTAGCTGTTCCATTTTCCATGAAAATAATCTTTTCAGGGAATTGGATTATCCATGCAATTGAATTAAAGGGACCAGGATCTGACTTTCAGTTCATTATTTAGTCTTTCTGCTGGGAAAATTAAGTACTTACTTCAGACTCTCTTACTGAAAGAGCATCCATAATTAATCTTCTTATATTTCATGGCATAAGATTCTTTCTTCATATCTTTTGTACTGTACTACTACTAAAAACTCACTTTTGTACAAAGTCAGGTCTGTTGCCTTAAGTCAAGTGGAGTTTTGGAATTTTTATGCAATTTTTGAAGGTAGTTTAATACCTGAAATGATCTAAATTACCTAAATGAAACCCCCTAAATGTGTCAGGATCTGAAGAGCTAAGAAGTAGTAAGGAAATAAAATATTTAAATTTACTTTAGATTATAGATAGGCGCATATTTATAAGATTGCATTAAAATGGCTTTGGTAACAGAAGAAATTCAGGAAAGTTGATTCTTTCAGGTTTTGATCCTGTAGCATGCAATTCCCTGTGATCAAGATCAGTCACTTAATGAGACAGAGCATTCCAGGACAAAGCTAGAGTAAATGAAAAATGCCTTGGGCAGACGACATCCATGTTTGGTTTTAATAGTAAGAGGTTTCGATGGCCAATATAAATTACTAGTTCTAGGACACCTACTTGTACTTTGCTCTAGAATTCATAATTCCATCCTTAAGAGTTTATCATTCTGACTTAACAGTTCTTTATTACAATTAATCCCTTGATGCTAAACATTTTTCTTCAGCTTTCTTACTTGGTTTAACATAAAATTGTTCTTGGGCTTTGAGACAGAGACAATCTGAAGATGTTCAGAGTTAGAATTCCAATTTATTTTCATACAGACCTAAAATCCAGCCCTTGGATCATCACAAAACCATATGGGTCAGAATACATGTGTATGTGCATGAGTGTGTCAATACCCCCTGGTAAAAAGGGGAGCTATTAAAACAGAATACAGACAGAGAAAATAGTCTCACATGAGAAGCACAGTAAATTCTGCTAGGAAATTACAGATAGTACGTCATACAACTAGCCAAAACAATTTTAAGAAGCCCCAAACATCCCATATTTCACCAGCCTAAATCTAAAAAGGTAATCTACAAATTCATACAAAAATAGATCCAGAAAATATATTGAAAAAAATTGGAAAGCAAATCTCAGCCCACCTTCAGTTCATGAAATTTCTTATAGAGCAAAGGATCCATGAGTTATGGAAAACCATTGTTATTTGGTAGCCAAATTCTTAAAATCATTAAAGCCATAATAAATAAAAAATAAAGTAAAATATTATAAACAATATAATTTCCAAGCTGAGTTTGTTTTGTAAGATTAAAAACAGACTCATATTTTTAAGTGGATTTCAGAAATTCTTGTCTGAGATGACTAAATTCTCATTATATTAGTAACGTTCTAAATGTTTTAAGGAGGGGTTGAATGGAAACATAATAATATGAAATTAGAAAAGAAAAATAATGATACTTTTAAAAAAGTGAACACTGAAGAGTTTCTTTTTTATTTGAAAAATATCATGCAGCACTATGATATATGTTGTGGGAAAGAAAATCAGAGTTAAAACTTGTCAGGAGTGAATAGTAAAGAGACTTGAAAGGAAAATTTCTGTCTTGTTAAACAGCAGGCCATGATTTCATCACTTCCTTCGTTATGTGATCACAATCACCTGGTGCTTTGGAACAGCCTTTACTCATTAGTCAACAAATAATTATTAGCTACACTGTATTTTACAGGTATCCTGTTAACTTCCATCATATTCAAAGGAGGGTCAGTTTCATACCATCAAAGCTTGCAAAATACCACCACCAGCTTTAAAAGATGGTATATTCTGTTAATATACTCGCTGGGGTCCAGATGATTCTCGTGCATACAGATAAACACTCAAATGCTATAGATTCATTAGAATATTTTTTAGTGTACCTACTATCATCATACAGTTGTTTTAATCTAGTTATTCATACTTCCTAAATTTTCAGGTTCAAAGTTGCCAATGGATGAAGTGAGGTTGAAAATATGGAACATAAGTGGTGGAACAAAATTTTGGGCAGAATCTTACTTGATTTGGCAGGTCACTGGCTTCACACAGATCCAGCATCAGATTTCTGGAAACACTTCATCTTCTTGAATGTCATGTTTTAGGCATGCACTGGTGCAGTCTGCAATGCATGCTTTTACCTTGTTTATAACTTATTAATTGCTGCAAACAACAACCCTTTCAACAGAAACCATTAGCGATTCCCTATGCAAATTTTTCAGCAAGAAACACCCTAATTTTGTGCCGAAGTTTGTGAATGCAAACTGAATCACAGAATCATGGAATGTTTTGAGTTGGAAGGGAGCTTAAAGATCATCTAGTTCAAAACCCCTGCCATGAGGTTGCTCACTAGACCAGGTTGCTCAGAGCCCCATCCAACCTGGCCTTGAACACTTCCAGGGATGTGGCTGGTCTAGGGCTTTTTCCCGACTTGGTTTCTGCTATATTTGTACCTTAATCTCAGCTCTGCACGAGGCGCCTAAAAGATAAGGAGGGGAGTGAATAAAACACCCACACCTCAATATATTCTAATTTAAGAGAAATAGAGGGTAGCTACTAGAAAGTTTAAACTGGACCTATGTGACAGTGACCACTGCCTTTGGTCATACACCCAGGGTGCACTGTCTGGGGGCACTGACTGGCCCAAAAGATCATCATTCCCAGTTTCTTTCCAGACTTTTTTTGTGTTTCTCTATGACTTCATATTGTCCTCTGTCAAAGGACAGCATGATGTTACAAAGGCAGATATTTTGTCTCCTGCTTCTTGCCATTACCCACTGAGTTTTACTAACTCTCTTTATTTCAAATAACATTCTTCACATTCTTGTGTGAGCAATAAGGGCCTTGGGATGAGAAGGATACTTTTAGCTCTTGTTTGTGGTTATGTTAAAATTATAGGATCTCATGTCAGAAGTGTCTATTATTTCCTATATCTGAGGTTATTTGTCAAACAGAAATTTGAAACTGAACTTCTCTAAATCTTCCCAGGATCTACACGAACTTAATAATGAATCTTATACATGTTTAGAAAAATTCACTGTGTAAGTAAGTGGAAGGTGAATAAGGCAATTGTCTCCTTCAAACCCATGCCCTGGACCAGGTGTTTTGTTGTTCAAGTAAATTTAATTGAAAAATAATCCAATTAAGAGATAATCAGGAGTCCATTTTGGGAACAAATTTACAACGTTAATGACTGTCTACTTTTTATTTTCAGTAGTAAATATTTACATGCATTTTTTCAAAATATCAACTCAAGACTATTTTGAGAGGTTAGCTTTTTAATTATCCCAATATGGAGTCTATTCCAACAGATTCAAGATACTAAAACCCCAGGTATTGAAGATAAAGTTTAAGATCTGCTTAAGAATGACCCAGCTGAAGCTAGGCACATGCTTGACTACCTTACTGAACTGGAGCTTAGCAAATAGAGTGATGAATGGTGACATCATAAAACTAGTTGAGATCGTTAGCTCTATGGACTAAAAGTATAAAGAAACACCCTAAAAAAAGATCTATGTTTCTTGCTTATGTGCTGGTGATTTAATTTTCTTAGCCAGTCATCATGCTCTGTTGGGGTAAATATATTCAACATATAGTTAGGTTTTTAAATCCATCAGCACAGCAGCGCATTCAGGGAACAACGCCATCCCTTTTGTAGGAAGCAATTTGCATGTTGTAAGCATCTAAGATGAAAGCAACACATAACTCATTTAGGTAATGCTGCAGACAGACTCAGGTTAACTACAAAAAGCAGCTTGGCGTGTCACCCACAGTCTCCTCAATTTCTTCAGCTGCCTGTCTGCAGCTTGAGGGGATTTGTAAAGTATGGGTGAAAAAGGAAATAGACAGTATAACAGAACATTCTGTAATGCTTGAAAAGCACTTTAATAATGCTGAATGAAAAAAAAAGGAAAAACAAGAATGATTTTGACCAAAGTTGTCACTGGACAATTATGTCACATGTTTTGCTGTTTGTATGTCACTTAAGCTATCTCTGCTTCCTCCACTTCAAGTAATTTCTTCTGGCACAATAGAAATAGTGCAATTTATTTCACAGACCCCATACAAAACACAAATCCAAGTCATTATAGTTTGAATGCCATATGAGATAATGTTACATGCTAAATTCGCCTAACACCAGAAATATGATGCCAGCTTTAACATAGTTTAGCTATATTCCCATTTAATAGAGCATATGCTAACCATACATCAAACTTTCTATGGGATTTTGTGGTAGATACTTAGAAATATACAATTCTTTATCTATGCATATTTACTGCTACTATTTTAGCAAGAAATTAAATGAAATTTCCTAAAGAATAAGTTTCCCTTTGCAAGTTATGTGTCTCCTGGTGTTGTTACTGATAGTTGAGAGCAGAATTGTGTGGGTTGAGCTCCAACTGCATATTCATTTGGGTTTATTATGCCACAGAGCAGTGAGTCATGGCTGAGGCTGATAAAGGCAGGTGCTGTACCTTCCCTTTTGCTCTGAGATTAGTTTACATTTTGATTATGTTTTGACAGTATAGTTGGCCTTTCATTAGTGTTACAGGGCTGTAACATCTCCCGAAGGAGGAACCAGAGCACAGTTTCCATCACATGTGGGTTTCCTTTGATATTGCCCTGACTGCACCATGAAGGAACTGAATTCTGCATTGTTGTAAAGGAGCAACCCAGCTGAGCTCCACAGGGCACTGTCTTCTGACAGCCAACTGGTGCTTTCTCCATCCCATTAAGGCATAAAGGGATGAAAAATGCAATCTAAGCATCTGTGCAGGTTATTCATATGCAGACTGTGCTGTACATAGGTGCTGGAGTAGTCCCTTGCCTCAGCTGCTGAGCTCTCATCAGGTGCAAGAACAGGCTGAAACTTGCTTATAGATGTACCAGCAAAACAAGAAGCATAGAAGAGCTGGTGAGATGGGGAGAACTATTTGCTGTTACAGACAGGTAACAGCACTACTTGCTGTAGGTCTATGGAGAAAGGAGGTGATGCTCAGAAAGTTTTCCCTCTCGACTTCTGCTACTGCAATATTTTTCATGGGGGCTGCTTTAGTACTGAGTGATCAAAAAGTCCAGCTCCATTCGATCAGCCTTGCAAAGAGCTTTAAAATCTTAGAGGTTTTGGCGGGAGGAATGGTTGACCATATATCTAGATCCCAACTTTACAAATCTCAACCAACTTAATAAAACCCTCTCAAAAATATTTTGTTTCCACATGTTCGAAGTAAATATCTATATTGTTATACTTGTATGGCTTTTTCCTGATGAATAATGCTATTTTCCATCTTCCAATAAACTTGTTAAATACATGATAGACAATTTTGTCAAGGCTCAGGGATTTAGCTACAACATGAGGCACAAAATTATTTTCCTTTGCTTCATACTGCAATTTAAATTACATTTGATTAGATTGGATTTAGAGCCAAATACTGTGAGTTAAAAATTCATTTTGGAGAAGTCACACTCAATTCATTTTGCTCTTCTAAAATAATCTGCCATCTGCTGAATGTGTTATTAATAACTTTGGATTTAGGGTGTGATTTTTAACAATCAGTTGCAATGAATAAAATCACAGCAGAAATTCCCTGGCGCAATCTAAACTACAAGCGAGACAATGGAAATCTGCATCTAACATTTGTCAAGTTGGACACAGGCCTTCTATTGTTTGGCTGTCTGCACAAAGTTTGTGCTAGGCATTATGCAAAGCCTGGTTTTTACCAGCTGGGTTATCTGCAAAGCAGACTCTTTTTAAAGTATGCCTTAAAATTTAAATTAAAAAGTATGACTGAATTGGAAACAACATTGTGTTTGCAAGAAAACTTTGTAATAATGCAAATTATAGCCCCTTTCAAAGTGTGGTATTTGCCAATTAAAACAAATTTTGTATTTTCAAAAAAATACCAAACAGCTTTCATTCTGAGAATTAACTGATATATTAGATGATAGAGAAATTACATAAAAAACTCTGCTCTCCTGAAGCCCTGTAAAATAGCTAATGGTGTAGCATGAAATTTGCAGCAGGTCAGTGCACTGACTATACCATACACCCTTAGCTTCTCTCACCTTGCTTATTGTTCCTCGTGTAGCATTAAAAGGCTGATTGAGAGGGAGCAACATGTTGGAGAAAAAAAAATTAATAATGATATATATGTAAGAGGAAAATAATTTTAATATATATTAAGGAAAATAGGAGCTGCATGTTTTTCTTCCACTGTCAAAAAAAAAAGAAAAAAATGTTGAGCAGTAGACACCTAAAAATGAAGAAAAATTAATTACTGCAGAGGAAGTACACAATGCTGAAGTGGGAAAGTATCTGCAACAGAAATCAGTATAACAGAAACAAAACCCCACACAATTAACATCTGCTTTTGCTTGGGCTTGACACCTGTCACAATATCAAACTCAAAATTAACATGAGAAATCAAAGCCAGTTATTGTCTAATGAGAAAAGATGTGCAAATGAATGACCAGTTAGGTACCAGGAAAACCAGGGATTATTTTTATCTGTTATTTTTGTAAGAGTTATGAACAAATGACAAACTACATCTTCAGTCAATTTTTATTGTCTTTTGTACCATGGGTACATGTTCCTCACATAAAAAACATTGCTAACCCTACTGACAAAATGGGAAGAGAGCCTGCTTGAAAATAACCTGTTGACATATGGAAAAGGATGGAAAAAAAATGCTTCTGAGAAGCAGAAGGAACATCTGAAATGAATCATTTGAAAGCTGAGCATATGTAGGTGGATCTGGCCAAATTAGACTTTGCTAAAAGGGAAAAAAAAAAACCCTTTGGGGGAAAAAAAAAGGAAAAAGCAGAATGAGATAATTGTTAGGAAAGATAGTACTGCAATACTTACAGAGAATGAAAATACTTCAGCTTACAAAGCAAAAGGCAGGATTTATGTAGCCAGAATAAAATCATCATCAGGAAAAAAAAATTCTAGCAATTCTTTCTCTTGATTTTTGCAATTCTATTATTAGATAGTTTTTAAAGCATATCCTGGTTAAGGTGAGGCAATCTGTTTACAATATATTTGTCCAAATGTAAATTCAAAGCATACTGTGTTGCCTGCAGGAATCATTTAGTCAACTAGTGTATTAACTTGATAACTTGATCAGGTAACTGCTCATGCAACACTGGAGCAGTTCCTGGTTTCATGCCACAAGTGACCACCAGGGCAGCCGGGCTGAAACCCCAGTGCCTTCAGCACCAGAACAGCAGTACTGTGTTTGACCACAGAGAGAAGGATTTCCTTCTGCAGTAACCTCTACAAAAAACTGTAAGACAACTGACCTAATTTTAGTTCCTAAAAATTCTTATTGGATTATTCTGAGAAAAAACAATATTGGCTGAGCATATATAGACAAGGATATATTGATATGTAGATACTTTTGGCCATGCAAAATTTACTCACAAGGTGTCAGCTAATATGAGATTTACTAGAAGGCAAGACACAGGAATTTTCATGATTTTGTTCAATTGAACTTAACTGTATGATTTTTTTTGGTGAAGTTTTGTGTAGAGATTAGGCCAATTTCACATGCAATATGCACAATAATTTGCCAAGTTGAAGCAGTAATGATTGCAAATTACACAGCTACAGAACCTCCTAAGAATTCAATTTGAGTCAATGCATCTGGTTTCCAAAACAGTGTACTCTGAAAAGCAATAAGGTTCTCCTTATGCTGTTATTTTTTGTAAGTTCTCTGTAATTTGTTTAGAATATTCCTTTCACACTGGCCCTAAACACTTATAACACCAAACAACATCCCTAAAATTAGCAGAACTAGGTCTTATTTTCCAGACATGAAGCATCTGCTGCAGTCCTGATCTCTTCTGGCATCTTGAAATGTAACATTGTTATCTGAGGCACTCTTGAACCCTGCTATCTGACAAACTGGAAAGTAGGTCCTTTGAGGGTTTTTTTTTCATTCTAGAATAAGGTCTCTAGAGATTACCTTGCTAGAAACATATCCTTATCCATGTTTTGCAAATCTGGTTAACAGATTTCAGGAAGGTGTCTGGTGCTATTTTTTTTGTTACAATGCAAATTATAACCATCTAAACCATCTGCACCAGTTATAAATTCTAAATATCTGTTTCTTTGAGATTTTTCTTCCACCTGCATCATGTCACAAGCCTGAAGTGCATCGGTTTTGCTGAGCTCTTGTGTGAAATGAAGAATGTTATTCTGTACATGCCTTAACTTTCACTTTGAAATACCCAGGACTTGTCACACTGACTAAGTTTTTTGTGCAGTGTGAAGTATAATTCTGCAACATGTGATAGTTGAAAAACGTCCCATTTGGACTAGGTTTTGCAGGTCTGATGCAGTCTTTGATCCAATAAGAGCCACTGTTCCTCTTGGAGGTCTACAGGGAGATTTTCAGAGGTCTCCATCTCATAGCAGTCATGGCCTTCTACAAAGCTGCAATTAGACCTTGCTCAGCATTGTTTGAAAACACTGATTCATCATTTTTCAAGGTGGGTTTGGCTCCAGAAGGAATATGTATTTACTCTTCACCAAAATCAGTACAAATCCATCTTTTTTTTTTTTCCACAGAGGATCACTCAGATGATCATAGCTCATGGTCTTGAATAGCTATTATAGTCATTAACTTGCTTCTAGACATCTGCATCACAGCTTTGGTAGATCACAGGAAACAGTGACTACCTAAGTGTTCTGGAGTGAGAATTTTTTAACATGCATTTTGCACCAAAGCTTACATATTTATTTCCACATGAAAAATCCATTATGTCTGCTAAACTCCATGAAAAGTCACTAGCACTGCACAGCTATGCAGGAGAATTTTTGAAATGCTTAAATTATTTTAGGAAAAGAATGAGTATTAGACAGCAGTCAGACCAAATTCAGCTCTGCGGTACAGTTCTTTGTTCAGGAACAGGCATGACAAATAATCAAAATTTATAAATATCTAAGTTGATGATGCTTCCTACACCACCAAATCATAGTTTCCAAAACTTCAAATTGACTATTAGGGAAAAAAAAAAGTTCTTCCTTAATTCTTGGACAGGAAACACTTCTCTTCACTGTCCCAGATGGAGCACTAGGTCATGCAACAGGGTGTTGGACTGTCTGGACAAGTACTTTTAAACTTAAACAGTGTATATAAAAACTCTAGGCTCTCCTTAAAATGTGGGAAGAATATGTCATATCTATCCCAAGAAATCCTAGCTTGCAAACCTAGCTTGCAAAAAAAATTTTTCTGGTATGATACCCAATGTACACACATTGTAATAGTTTTGACCACAGCTGGTCCAAAATACATTAGTGTGGTGAATTCTAAATTACTGCCTTTTAGTTGCATGCATTGCATTATTTATGATGAAGATTGTTTTCTGACAATATTTGCTGTTTCTTTACAGGTGTGCTAGGTGTACATCTCAATTCTAGTTGTCAGAGTAAATCTTTATATATCAGAAATAATTTTCTCTTGTCTTTCTCTAGACCTCACCATAGACATTGCGTTTTCCTCATTCAGTATTGTTATTTATTTTATACATTCCTTTATTTCTTTTGCTATCTTATTATGTCAGTATCTTTAGATACAGTACATGGCAGTACCACCCTGGTATCATTGTTACTGTAAAAATATGGGGTTATAATTCCAAAGCCAAAGTGGTTTTGATATAAATAGGATAAAGACAAAAAGTAGGAAAAGTTGTTTAAGCAATATGGGTAAGCTTCACATATTGTGCATATTTACATCAGTGGATTGCCAGAGATGACTCCTTGTGGTTGCAAAGAAACAGATGAAGGACATTACAGAAGTAACAAATGTGAAAGGACAGAGAAGGGAATTAGGTGCTAGAAAATGGGAAGCAGAGTGGACAGAGTGAGTGAAACTGCACAGCTGAAAGCCAGGAAGACGAAACATCCAACAGCAAGGTCAGTTGCACAAATATTGGAAAACTGCTGAGTTTTCCATGCCCAGAGGTACTCAGCCATGGAGCAGTAATGAAATGCTACATATGCAATTCAAATGGAAGGATCTTACAGGTAACATGAACTGACAAAATGTGTGAGGAATGACTAGTAAGGAGAAATACGTCTGTTTATTTTCCATTTCAATGACATCCTTTATCTCTCTCAGTGGAAGCACAACCATGCAGCTGATGCTTTGTGTCCCAGATTCTCATGGTTTGTCTGTATCTCAATAAGATGTTCACCTAAACTTCTTGCATTTCTTGCAGTTCTACTTTTAAAACATTGTGCTGTTAATGTTTCATCCAGGAAATATTTTTATAAATCTCTCACATACTTTCAGCAAAAGCTTGTGTACATTGGCTGGCTTCCTGGAATAGTTTTAAATATAATTCTTCTGAAGGGCATCTCATTACAACTTAAAACATGCCTTATAACAATAAAACTTCCATCTTCAGCCTTCCTAAAGTATCACATGCTGATCTCACTTTATTGATGGGTAAATCCCAAAAGTGCAATTCTAGAAGGCCCAGCTTGCTGTAGAATTATTTAAGAGATAGTTAATATAGCATTGGTTGCTAAGATCTGCCACCTTACTTTCCAATTAAAATATGTGTTTAAAATTTGTTCCTCCTGGTTAGACACAGCTGAACTACAGTTACTGCATGACAAGAATCTGGAAAGTTTCCAGCTTTCACTCATCATTGGAAGACAGATTATGTTGTATTAAAAGACATTTAAGTAATGCAAAATAGGCCCCTATAAAGTCTGTCATCATTATCTGAGTTAGTACTTCATATTAAGTGTTTAAGCTCATCCCATTGTTCATCAAAACCAAACCCAAGAAAATGGTGCACTGTCCTATGATTTGCTCCCGCTCAAATGAGCTCGTGGAAATGCCAGCATGCAGGTTAGTTCAGCTAACATCCCTCCTGGTGACAGCCAGCATCCCCCTGATATCTCTGCCTTTACTCATCAAATGCTTTGTTCGTTCACAGCTCTTTGGACACAGTTATTTAATTCACATCAAATTGGTTGCCAGTGGGTGAGCAGTTTGCCTTCTCTAAGATGCCTGCCAGGCTCGCTCCAGGGGAGCCTGAAGAGCAGCCCTTGCCAGAGGTTCTGTGGTATTAACCACTGGAGGCTTCTGGGGCCAAAACAGGGAGCAAGAGAAATCTCCTGCAGGCAAATGATAGGTTGTCCACGAGGAATTTTGTAGATGGAAGGCAGTTGAATCATGGTCCATATTGTGATTATGACTGCTTTCACAGCTGCCTGTAAATAGGACTTGAGGTATAATCTAAAGGGCCCTAAATGATGTAGATGCATACAGGTAGACAATCAGAATAATATTTTACCTTACCACAGCCAGGACTTTGAGCATTCTCAAAATGATCAGACTTACTACTATGTACAGTCTAGCTCATACTCCCATTTCTTTCTTTATTGAGAGGCATCTGGGAAAGTGGCCAGGAATAAGCTGGTTTCTCCAAAAGAGACATTCAAAGAGCTCTCAGCTTCTGCTGGCTTCCTCCAGAGCTCCTGAGACACAGGCAGGAAGAGGGCTGAAGGTTGCATACCTTGCTGCAGTCCTCTCCCACATAACACCTTTCCTGAAAGTTCCTCAGCCTTTTCTCAGAGTCTGCCCAAATGTGCATTCATCACATTCCTGGGTTGGGTGAAGTGACCCAAGGCAAGATCTGTAGGATTCCTAAAACTAAACCATTCAGCAGAGGCCTTTAAAAGTCCAAATTACAGGAAAATTTCAAGCCCAGGAAGAAAGCATGGAGTTGCTGAGGTTTCAGCCTCCACTCCAAATCTTTTCCATGGCAGTCCAGTTCATGAGAAAGCTGTGTTTCAGCAGACCGCCTTGCTGCTCTTGCTCAATTTCCCTGGTGCCAGTGAGCGTGGGTGCACATGCACAGCCCAGCCATAATCAGGACAAGCCTCCCAGACATCAGCTCTCTTGGCCATACCTGCAGGACATCACCATTCCAAGAAACTCAGGTAAAAGTTAACTTTGCAATGAAGTCTGCAACCACTGATAAATCCTCCACCTTAGATGCTACATTTGCATTTTTAGACACAAATTTCAGGATGAAACTTTAACCTTCTTTTGAAGATGGTCAGGCCTTAGAAGTATCATAATTTTAGGTGCTTGATACAGAGCTAAAACACCTTAATCAAGAATAACTTTTTCCTATCTTGAGTCTGTGCCATCTGCCTAGTCCTGGGAAAGCATGGTTTAGACAGGAGTCACTGGTGCAATTGAGCCTGTTGGTGATTTAGGAAACAATGGTCCAGGTCTTTTACTGGAAGTCGAACAGGGTGGACACCACAGTTGTGGCTGTACCACTCTTCATTTGTCCACACCAGCTTCTTTGAACAGAGACAAATGAATAAAATTCATAAAATCATAGAAATGGTGGGAAGGGACCTTAAACATTTTCTAGTTCCATCTTGTTTGCCATGGTCAAGGACACCTTCAACTAGACCAGATCACTCAAAAATGTCCAAACTAACTTCAAACACTTCCAGGGATGGGCAGCCAGAATGTCTCTGGGCAAACCCTGCCAGTGTCTCAACACTATCACTGGGAAGAATTTCTTCCTAATATCTAATCTGTCCCAGCACTGACCCCTCAGGAACATCACATGTCACTGGTCTCCACTTGGATATCGAGTCATTGACCACAACTCTCTGAATGTGACCACCCAGCCAATTCCTTATCCACTGAGTGGTCCATCCATCAAATCCATTTATCTCCAGTTTAGGGACAAGGATGTCATGCAGGACAGTGTCAAATGCTTCACACAAATCCACGGAGATTATGTCAGTTGTTCTTCTAGAAGTTGTGTCGACTGTCACAAATTGCCTCCTTATTTTTCGTGTGCCTTAACACAATTTCCAGGAGGATCTACTTCATGATTCTGCCAGACACAGAGGTAAGATTGGCCTGTAGTTCCCCAGGTCTTCATTCTTTTCCCCTCTTTTAAAAATGGAGGTTATGTTTCCCCTTTTCCAGTCAGTGGGATCTTCATGGGACTGTCATGACTTCTCAAATATGATGGATATCTTAGCAGCTTCATCTGCTGGTTCTCTAAGGGCTTGCAGATTGATCTCATCAGGTCCTTGTGCATCTTCAGGTGCCTTAGATGGACTCAAACCCAATCTCCTACAGTGGGTTTCTTCACTCTCCCAGTCCCTGCCTTTGCCCTCTGCCATGTGGGTGATGTGCTTGGAGCAGTTGCCAGTGAAGACTGAGGCAAGACAGTCACTGAGTACCTCAGAGTTCTCCATATCCCAGGTAACCAGATTTTCTTCTGGAGAGGGCCCACATTTTCCTTGGTCTTCCTTTCATTGTCAGCATACCTATAGATATGTCATTCATGTCATTCTTGATGTCCCTGACCAAATTTAATTCTATCAGGGCTTGAGCTTTCCTAACCTGATACTTGGAGGCTTAGACAATTTCTCTGTATTCTTCCCATATTATCTGTCCCTGCTTCCATCCTCTGTAGGTTTCCTTTTTGTGTTTTTTATCCAGGAGCTGCTTGTTCATGCATGGAGGTCTCCTGGCATTTATTTTTTTTACTTTTTCTTTTTTGGGATGCATTACTTCTGAGCTTGGAGGTGATCCTTGAATGTTAACCATTTCTCTTGGGTCCTTCTTCCCTCAGGGCTTTATCCCTTTGTACTCTACCAAGCAGATCCCTGATGAGGCCAAAATCTACTCTCCTGAATTCCAGGAAAGTGAGCTTGCTGTGCACCTTCCTCTCTGCCCTAAGGATCTTACATTCCACAATTTTAGGGTCACTGCAGCCCAGGTTGCCCTTGAGCATCACATTCTTTACCAGCCCCTCCTCCTGCATGTGAACAGGGTCCAGAATAACCCAGCTCCTCGTTGGTTTTTTTTATCATTTGGAGAAGGAGGTTATCACTTAACATGTTCCAGGAAAGCTCATGCTAGAAATCAAGGGTTACTTACAGCAATGTCTAGCAATGCAGTCTGGGAAGGACATACACGTGGATCTCACTAGTCGGAGGAGGTGAATTTCTTGCGATCTTAATCAAAGAAAGAGAAATCACACAATGTGATACCTATTACACTTGTGTGCTGTGAAACAAGGAAACACATGCTTTGTGCTCAGCTCAGACAATGATGTGTGAGCAGAAACAACTGTGCTGCAGCTCCTTGGTGTCTGCTCACCAGGATTCTGTTCAACACAAGATGATAACAAGTTAATAGGTATTTCCTGCTTAACAATTACATGAATAAAAAGCAGAGCAGCACATTCCAGACCTCAGCCAAATGTGGCCAGCTCCCAGCCAGGGAAATACACCACCCTAGCAACAGATAATAAACCAAACACAAGAACAGCAGCACTGGTGACCAGAGAAAGACAAAAACTTTTGTAAGTAACGGAGACACACTGTGTACTCAGGTGACAGACAACCTTCAAGATGGCAAGTAGTTCCTCTACACCTATCAAACCAGCTGACTGAAAACCAAGGGAAAGAAAACACTATTTTCTCTTTTTTCAGGAAGAAGTACTGTCTTGAGATACCTTAAGTCCAAATGACTAAGATGGGAGAAAACAGCTGCACCAAGAATAAACAACGACTTCCATTCAGCTCCAAATCAACCGGGCCAGCACGTGCCATATAGCATCCTGGTTCTACCATCGTGATTTATTTTTTGGTATCTTCACTACATCAAAGAAGTGATTTAAGAGATAGCATTTGCTGGAGTGATTGCTGCCAGAAAATGCATCGAGTGCTCTCCCTTAGACTAATTGAAGCTGCAACAGAGCCTGAAGCAGTGTTTAGAAAGGTATGAGTTGTGTCCCCTATGGCTGTTCGGTGCAAATGTTTGGGATATTAAGTGCCATTAACTTGTCACAGCTTAAATTCTTCAAAATGGCAGAGGGGAGATGACAGGAAGGGATAGAGGAATAATCACTGCCCTGACTCTGTCACATAGGAAGATGGGAAAACTCCTGTCTGGATCTGTGAAAAGCTTCAGCTGAAAAAGTTTGAACATTTTATTTCAAGAGACTAAAAGTAAATATTTTGATATTTCATTTTGATATGACATATTTCCTTTTGATACAAACTTGTATATTGCAGAGAAGAAAAACATCCAGAGCATATCAGTAGGAAATCAAAGCATTATTAAAAAATGTTTCACTTTAGTTCTGGGAAAAAAGAATTACTACACATCTTTTCATGGACATGCCTGAAGTAATACTGCTATTATTTATCTATCTATCTATCTATCTATCTATCTATCTATCTATCTATCTATTTATTTATTTTTGCAAAGAAAAGAAAAACTCCTGAATATTTTTAAAGTTAAGCTCAATTGGAAAAGTTATTTCAACTATCTCCTAATTTAGCTACAAGTCCATTACTTGCCAGGTTTTAATGGAGACCTGAACAGTTGAGTGTAGTGATATGTCACCCAAGGCATGCACATTTGGAAGAGAAATTCCATTTCCCTTTTTTTTTTTTCCCTTCCATATGACCTTTTCTCAGAAATAAATTCCTAGGCAGACCTCACAGCCCCTCTAGTGCATGACCCAATTTGGATAGCAAATCTCATCGCTCTCATCTATTGTCCTGGGGTACAATGCAAAAATGTGTATTCTATCACCATCTGTTAAAATGTGGGAGGGGTGGTGATCCTTATCTCTGTGGGAGATGTCCTCTGCTGCTGTGTCATCTGATAAGATGGGGGGATGATCATCGTTATCTATTCACAACCCATCCCTCCTCCAGAAGATAT